CCAGCCACGCGGGCCCTGCGGCCGGTCAGGGTGCCGAGGGGGAGGGCTTCCCACGTCCTCTCTCTGGTCAGCAAGAAACATGTCTGCCCGCCTGGGAGAGGAGCAGAGGGGCTTGGCTTAGGTAAGCTGCCATTTCCTGACACTAGGTCTAATCCCTTTGGGGGGCTGGGAGGCTCTGAGGAGCAGTGAATAGCCCCCAGGGAAAGATGATTACAGGGCTCCCTGAAGGCCCCTGGGTGCCTTTCTAGGCATGGCTGGTCAGAGAAGCCAGGAGTTCAGCAGTGGTTGCCGCCTCCCCTCCTGCAGGCCTGGCCCTCACCTCCAGGCTCCTTGAGGTTCCTTCAGTTTCTGGCCTGTGCTTCTCATTTTTTCCCACTTGTGTCTCATTCACCTCCCTCCCTGCTTCCTCCTCCTCGAGGCTCCCTGGCCCCCCACCCCAGAGCGCCCCTGGCTGAGGGGGGAGGACGCTCTCTCTTCTCTGCTTCTGCAGCCCTCTGGCGCCCTTCCCACCTGCTAGGTGTCCGCGTACCTGTCATCTCCCTAATACACTGGCCGTCCAGGAGGGCAGGGCCCCATCCACCTGCCCACCTCAGTGGCCCCCTCACCTGGGAGGGGCTAGCGCACAGGAGGCCCCCTCAGTGTGCTGCACTGGCGGTAGGGGGAGTCTGGAGCCTGGGCTCCGTGCTAGGGCTTCCTGGAAGCAGCGTGACCTCGGGCAGGCTCTTTTCTGCGGCTCGTTTCCCTGTGAGGTGGTGAGGATGGCGGTTACCTACCTTACAACACGGCTTCTTCAGCTCAGCGCTGCCGACATTTGAGGCAGATAATTCTTGGCTGTGGGGGCCCATTCTGTACACTGTAGGGTGTCTAGCAGCAGCTCTGGCCGCCACTTGTTAGATGCCAGTACCACCCCCACCCTAGATGTGACCCACAGGAGTATCTGCTGACATCGGCAGATGGCCCCTGGGGTCACATGGCCCTTGGTTGAGAACCACTGTCTTTAGGAGACAGTTGTGAAGGTTCAAAGCGATCAGATGTAAAGTGCCCAGGATGATATGTGGCATTTAATTAAATACTCTCTAAACATTAGTTACTGTTGTTATTAATGACTTTTACCCAGAGTAGGCAAGCTCTGGATGCCTAGATATTTCTAAGTGAATGGTTTTGAGTCATGGGACAGCACTTGGTACTCACTGAGCATCAGTGACACAACCCTGCCCCTGGTGAAGACTAACTTTCATGAACTATTCTCCTCCTGGCATAGAAGGGACGTAGAATCTGTGCCCAGTCCTGCTTGAAGACAAGCTAGTTAGTGATGGGTGCAGAACACACAGCTGGGGTGGTGTGGCGCTCTCTCTCACCTTCTTGGGGACCTGGGTCAAGATGATTAACCTCCTCCACCATCCAGCTTCCTTTTCTGCAGGCTGCGATGGGAGTAGTGCCTACCTCCAGGCTTCTGGTGAGAATTCAGTGAGTTAATGTATCAGAACACTTAGCACAGTATCAGGCACATATTAACACCATTTCGCATCCAATTATTATTATTTCTATTGATTTGGGTCCCAAGTAGGTGTTCTTAGATGAGAAAGTTTGAGTTCTTCAATTGAAAGCTTCCCTTCTAGTCTGCATTTTGTCATCTGGTGGTCCTGGTTTCTAGATTCATGTTGTTGGCACTTGGAGGGCCCAACATTAATTGCAGGTGCCTCACACCCTGACAGGAAATGGTGACGGGAAAGAGACTTAAGCCCCTGGGTGCTGGTTTTTTGTTATTCTTCAGAAATGAGCAGTGCTTGTTGGGTTAGGTGGTTCTCATAGTTTGGTGTACATCATAATTGCCTGTGGAGTTTGAAGATTTCAGATGCCTGGCATTCCCTGTGATCTGCTGGATTGTGAGTTTCAGAGATTGGGCTGTTTTTCTCAGACTCCACATTTGGTGGGGGGAGGTTTTCAGCCAAGGAGGCTGGAGTATGTTGTGGCTCCCAGCCCTATAGGAGAACATCAGAATTAAGCTCAAAAGTTCAACTTAAGTAAGGACAACAGGCAACGATTTCTAGAGACCCCAGGAGCCCACCGCTGCAGTGATCTTACCTTGGGGGTGGGGGTGAAAGATGAACGTGACTTAACAAATGAATTAAAATCATGATGGGCTTTTATTTCCCCAAATTAAGCATTTTCAAACCTGACTCCTGTTGCTTAAAATGTTTATTGGCTTTCTGGCACATGTAGTGGCCACATGGAAGTGGACGCCTGATATTGTTCACCCCCTCAATAAGAGATGTACTCCCCAGGGCTATCTACAGGCTTTGGAAAAGGAGAGCAAATAAAATGATTAATTGGTTTTTGGTTCTTGTGACATCTCTATGGAAACTCTATTATGAAATTCTGGACTTGTGAGTTGTAGAAATATGCATTAGTCTCCCTCCATGGCAGCACATGCCTCAGGTGTCATCGGGTCATGGCTCAATCATCTATAATATTTTTATGAGAGGAGCTAGGGCATTGGCGTTGGACTTGCAGATGTGGGTCAGGCAGCCTGTTTGGACCTCTGCTTCTCTACTTGCTACTGAATTTTCATAGACAAGCTCCTTAATCTCTGAGTTTCAGATGCCTTATCTGCAAAATAAGGGTGATCACAGTATCTACCTTGTAGAGCTATTGCAAGGGTCAGAGAAGCAAATGCCTATACAGTATCTAGCACAGTTCTTGGCCGGGGGTCAGCGCTCTATGCAGATGAGTACTTTTGGGTTTCCATTATGCTCATGTGAAAGTCCTCTATGCCCTTGCTTTGCTTTGTGAAAGATGGTCCCTGGACCATCAGCTGCGTCCCCTGGGGGACTTGTCAGAGTCAGAAATGCGGAATCCTAGGCTTCACCCCAGACCGGCTAATTTGAATTTTGCACTTGAACAAGATCCCAGGTGATTCTTGTGGGCACTTACATCTGGAAGTGCTACTGTAAGTGAAAATGTATACAGCGAGGAGAGCTGAGTCAGGTTTGAATATGGAAACCTGTTGCCAACATCATGTTGGTACTAAAAAGACATCTGCACCAGGACACAAGATAACGCTGTGACCCTAACCAGCTGGGCATTGTTAGACAACCACGTCACCCCTCCTGCACGGGTTCATCGTCTGTAAAGTGACTCACCTGTTTTAGAAGTTTGTTGAGAGGATAAGTGATGTGAAAGCTGATATCAGAGTGAAAAGTAAGTTATTTTTATCTTGTTTACATAGAAAAAGGACATCATAATTTTTATAGCTGTTAATACAATTTTCAAAGAATCTGATTCCCCATTTTCCACTTTTGCTGGCTGAGTGGCAATGGGCAAATACCTATTATTTGGTGCCTCAATTAGAATAATGGAGAGCGAGAGTGGCCCAGGAACTACGGCCTGGTATTTTTGGAAACTAAATGGGAGAATTTTGTAGTTTGGCTAAAAGGCATTGCCCTAGAAAAGATAAGCAGTGTGGTCAATGGCAGTGTTTATGCCATTTACAAAATACTCTGAATTGCAGCGTAAGGTCTGATGGCCATGTGCAAAAGTCACCAGGATGCTTCCAGGTGGCACATTTTAATGTGTCACGCATTTAGCAGCCACAAAAGCCTTTTATTATTTCCAAACATCACAACCAAAACAAGAGACAAGTGATATTGCTTATATTGCCAGGATGTCTTCAGGTACAAGGTAACCACAATATATTCCAGCACAAGAAAAATACACAATTGTACACCAAAGACACAGCATATTATAAGAATTCATCTGGGGTTGCGGGGGGCAGTGTGAGGACAGCCAGAAAGCACAGCAACAAGTTCTTTAGAGCAGGCAAGGGTCTGCGTGTGTAGCACGCAGTGATGTACAGCGCGCAGAGACAGTGCTCGTCAGCAGAGCTCGCCCTACGCTCACAGGAATGAGTTGCTTTACTTGATAAGGCGCAGGCATTGAGAGCCAGGTCGTCACCCCAACTTTTATATCATGCCGGAGAAAAAAAGAGCAGTGAACCAAGAAATTTCTCTTTCATAGATAACTCAGGTATAGATAAGGTGATAGAGGCACAGCTACTGCGAGCAAAAACAGAGCTGCCGAGAAAGCCACATGCATTTTCACAGTTTCTGAAACTCTCTGAAACTACAGGATGGCAAGTTCTTGAGGCATGTGCCCTCTCATCCGTGATTCCCTCTCTCGCTTGAATGACAGAAAAGGAATAATAGGAAAGAGGCCTTTTCTTTTTTAAATAGGGAAATTTATCCCTTAAAATAGTAAGGTTTCAAAATACTTGGTACACAGGTATGTGCTGATTTTCCAAAGCACCGCATCTGTCTTTCATTAAATTTTGAAAGCAGCCTTAGATTTAATGCATAAGAACCCGACAATGCCAGCAGCAGCCAGGATAGAAGGGGGTTGCATCCCCATGCTAGTTTTCGAGGGGAGGCCAGTATGGGGGTTAAGAAGAGGGGCATACATGGCATTGCTTCTTCCATAACAAGGCTCAGTATTTTTTAGGCAAGAGAGTAGAAACTCAGTTTCTTATGAAACAAGGACAAGACCAGCTGAGCAACTGACAGCCAGAGCCGTGACAGGTTTCCTGAGGAGGCCTTCGAACCCCTCTTACAGTCAATGAGAGTCCTTCTTCTGGTCTGATGTGTGGCAGGGAGACACAGGGAGGGGGAGCAGAGGCAGGTGAGCAGGGGCATTACAAACCCCGGGGGCATGGAAGTGAATGCAGGCGGCACCCAGAGCAGCCCTCACTGAGTCCTGCCAGGGCCTCTTTGGGAAATCAGTGACTTACCCCCTTCAGAATCCTTCGAGAAAGCCTGTTACGTACCATTTTCTCCGTCAAAAGGCTTTGCAAAGCACAAAGACAAAAGACATGGACTGTCATGGCTGTTGACACATTTTAAGTCTTGCAAGGATGTCTCTACCGCCTCTTCTGTTTTCTAAACACCTTGGCTGGTTGGAGGGTCCCCAGTGACAGAGCCGACGCCCGCTCCCGTGGTCCTGGCGCCCTACCCCAGGTTCATGCCGTTGCAGCTGCAGAGGATCTCCTTGAAGGTGTTACGTAGCTCTAGGCTCCGGAAGGCGTAGATGAGGGGGTCGATGATGGAGTTGCACATGATGAGGACCAGGTAGGTGTTGAAGTGGGCAGTGTAGCAGACGCAGTAGGGGTTGGTGGGGCAGGTTATGATGAGGACGAGGTGCAGGAAGAAGGGGGCCCAGCAGAAGATGAATACCCCCAGCAGGATGGTGATGGTGACAGCCCCCTTCATGCACGAGTGCTGCTGCGGGGCCACCCCGTCGGCAGGTGGCAGCGCCGCGATGCGCTGGACGTGCAGCCGGGCGAAGAGGAACATGTGCACGTAGAGGGTGCCCATGAGGAGCAGCATGGCGAAGAACATGGTGATGAGGCACACGATGACCATCTTGCTCTCGGAGTAGACGATGAACACCACGCCACAGACGCCGCAGCACACCCAGATGGCCACGATCCAGGCCAGGGCCTTGCGCACGGTCATGATGCTGTGGTAGCGCAGCGCGTAGAAGATGGTGACGTACCTGTCCACGGCGATGGCCAGGAGGTTGCAGATGGAGGCCACCAGGGAGATGCAGATCATGGAGTCGAAGACGTTGTCCATGTGCTGGACGAACCGGTCCTCAAAGGTCAGGTAGTTGCTGTTGACGATGGCGATCATGACGGTCTCCAGGGCGTTGGACACGCTCACCAGCATGTCGGCCACCGCCAGGCTGCAGAGGAAGAAGTACATGGGGGAGTGCAGGTTGCCGTTCCTGGCCACGGCCAGGATGACCAGGATGTTTTCCAGCAGGCTGACGATGCCCAGCGCCAGGAAGACTTCGGGCTTGATGAAGACCTGCTCGCAGAAGCCGCTGCCGCTCTGGTTGCCGAAGGACGCGGCTGCGAGGTGCTCCGAGCTGTTGGGCAGCGTTGGCTGAGCAGACAGTAGGCAGCACGAAGCGTTCATTGCTAACAGGCCGGTGGATCAGAGCTGGGGCTCTGGCAGCTTCCAGAACCTGCTGCTGCTGCTGTTTCTGGGAAAGGAAAAAAAAAAAAAATCACCCTGCAGATGCTGGTCGTGGGTGCCCGTCTGGTCCCGACAGGTACTGTTCTCCCCCCCGAGCAACAGGATGAAGAGAGGGAGGGAAAGTCAGCTTGGACACAGACGAGAGAACTTTCCTCTGCTTCTCCGGGACACCCAGTTTCACGGACACTCTTCTGTGTCGTCTCCCTTCTCCCCCACTCTTGCCCCTGCTCACACTCCCGCCCCCCCCCACCACCTGGGAATGGAAGAGCTGCCACTGGTTGCTGGAGTGCCAGCCGTTTGCAGAGCAGGACCGGGCACGAGGTACCTGTTGCTAGAGGTGAGGGGTGAACCCCAGGCTCCGCACACGGGCTGTGGGCAGACAACTCCTGCTTCACCTCCAGCGCCGCGGAACGACCACTGAGCATCAGCTTGGAGCAGGCGCCTCCCCGACAGCGGCACCTGCTCGGGGTGGGGAGCGTGAGAAGCAGGCTGGTGCCCTCTGCAGGCCAGAGCGCTGGTCTGCGCGCCGCCTTGGCCGAGCGGTTCCTATTTGTCATGGAAACTGCCACAGGCATTTGTCCATTCATCCAGTTTGTTCATTCATTTTTTTTTTAAAATAGCCATCACTTATGGAGCACCTACTCTGTGTCAGGTCTCTGCTGGGAGCAGGGAATGTAAGGGTGGGCCAGACCCACACGCCATCCCGGTTTCCCCCAGACTCAGCGTCCAAGGTGGGAGACCAGAAGTCAGGACGCGTTAGTTCATCGTGATGAATGTGTGATGACGAAGGCCAGAGGGCTGGGCTGATGTGGGGGTGGAGGCCCAACCTGGATGGCCAAGGAAGTTCCTAGACGAAGGAGCATCTAAGCCTTGACTTGGAGGAAGAAGGTGATGTCTAGCGGTGGCGTGGGACTGGGGTCAAAGGAGGTAGAAGAGAGTTCCGGGGAGAGGGAGTCACATACCCCAAACCAGGAGACAAAGAGCAGTGGCTCTCCACCCTGGTCATGGGGATCATCATAGAATGTGGGTACGGGGACCCACCTGACCTCCTGAATCAAGATCCCCAGGGGTAGGACCTGGACAAATGTGAGTCCAGTATTCGACTGGTGAGCTGGGGCATGGCCAGGATTGAGATCGATTGAAAATGAAGGTTGGTGTTTTTCTCTTTTTCTTTTTTTGTCATTTTTAAAAAAAGATTTTATTTATTCATGAGAGACAGAGAGAGAGAGAGAGAGAGATGCAGAGATACAGGCAGAGGGAGAAGTAGGCTCCATGCAGGGAGCCCGATGTGGGACTCGATCCTGGGACCCCAGGGTCATGCTCTGGGCTGAAGGTGGTGCTAAACCGCTGAGCCACCCGGGCTGCCCTGTTGTTGTTTTTGAAACCGAAGTCCAGTTGGCACACAGTGTAATATTAGTTTCAGGTGTATGATATAGTGACCCAACACAGTGCTTGGTGCGATTTCTATAGTTATAGCCTCTGCCACTAGATGGTGTTATTACAGTATTATTGCCCATATTCCTTATGCCGTATTTTTTCATCCCTATGATTTAGGTATTTTACAAGGAAGCTCGGTGTTTTTGAGGAAATGAAAGTAGTTTGGTCAGAGTGTGCAACTGGGAGACAAAATTTGAGAATTAAGACCGCAAAGGGTTTTTTTGTTTTTTGTTTTTTTTTTTTTAAACAAAAGCTGAGAAGTGCCTGGATCCAGAAGGATGGTATCTACCCTATGTGGGAGGTTGGACTGTCTCCTGTGGGCAGTGGGGGCCGTGGAAGAAAGGGCTTTAGGTAGTGGGTGGGGGGGGTGTTCTTTAGAAAGACTCCCAGTTGCAGGGTAGAGAAAGAATTGGAAGGGGAGGGGCAAGGAACCAGGGAGGCCAGGGCTTCGGAGTCTGGGGTAGATGATGGTAGGCTGGAGCGAGGAGGAGGTGGCGTGGGGCCAGGGGAGGAGGGGGTGGAGGTGTTCAGGCGGAAGCGTTGGCTGAGATTTGAGGGTGGCTGACCATGCGAGGGCGAGGCAGTGGGCAGGGAGCACCTCCCTTTCCTTCTCAAGTAGCAGGGAGGACAGAGATACCTTTTGAGCTGAAAAATGTAGAAGGGAGAATTTAGCAATAGACCTAAGTACCTGCTTCATGTCACATTTGGTGCTGTACACGAGGACTGTGTGAACTCTTGAAGCACAGAGTCCCTTTGCCCCTACGCGCACACACGCTCGCATGCACGCACATTCCAGTTGGATTAATGATCCACCTAACTATGAGTGTTTGTGTGTATGAGAGAGAAGAAACACGCATAAGGAAATAGAAGAACATTTTAAATATTTAAAACTGTGGAAGGGAGAGATTTTCTTAACAAGATGAGCAATCCAAAATTCAGAGTTTGGAAAAAAGCACCATAAGCAAAGTCAGGAGACAGACAGGAAGAAAACATTTGCCGTAGGCAGTGAGACAGGTTTCTGTCTCTTATAGAAAAAGAGTACTTTGGAATTAATAAGAAAAGGATGAATTTCCTCTTGGAATATTGGGCAAAAGGTATGAATAGATTTCTGCTGAAGAGCGAATACAAATGGATAGTAAACACACGAAGAAATGTCCAGCCTTCTAGGGAGTGAGGCAAATCCAAATCCAAACAGGACTCCAATACCATTCTTCCATTTAGATTAACAAGAATTAAAAAAAAAATACTTGGGAACGAACTAGGGGTGGTGGAAGGGGAGGAGGGCGGGGGGTGGGGGTGACTGGGTGGCGGGCACTGAGGGGGGCGCTTGACGGGATGAGCACTGGGTGTTATTCTGTATGTTGGCAAATTGAACACCAATAAAAAATAAATTTATTAGAAAAAAAAATACCTGGGGATCCCTGGGTGGCTCAGCGGTTTGGCGCCTGCCTTTGGTCCAGGGCGTAATCCTGGAGACCCAGGATCGAGTCCCATGTCGGGCTCCCTGCAGGGAGCCTGCTTCTCCCTCTGCCTGTGTCTCTGCCTCTCTCTCTCTCTCTCTCTCTCTCTCTCTCTGTGTCTATCATAAATAAATAAATAAATCTTAAAAAAAAGAATTAAAAAAATACCAAATTCAGGAGAGAATATTGGGAGAACACTTGCAAGACAATCCTAGTGTTTGTGAATAGTCTCATCTTTTGGCAGTTTCTATTAAAGTAAAAAAGGTGTCCGGGTAGGGATCTCAGTCTGCCTAGGGGCATAAGAGATAGCACTTCTATTTATTCTCAGCAGAGTAACTTAATTTCTGATGCGAAACCACCCATCTTCCAGGTTGGGGAAAAACACAGTCTTCTTCATCCTTCGGGGGGTCCTCTCCTCCTCACCCTCAGGATGCATCCAGAGGTGTATTTATCCTGTCTTGTCTGGTTTCAGGGGCAGTGGTGTTACCTGCAAAGCTAGGCAGTCAAGGTGATCTATCCATCACCAGCCGGGCCCCTCATGCTCTGTGCGTGGCACGGGCTGAGCGTGAGCGAGTGGATGGCGCCCGCTGCTGCAGACCTGCTTCTCAGACGCACCCTCTCTGCTAATGAGTATTAATTTGGGGTTCCCTAAACGCCACCCCCACCCTCCCAGGGGAGCCGCACAGATGCAGCATTATTTTTTAATTGAATCTTCTATAAATGAATGGGCTCTATTAATAACAATTGTGAGACACGACCTTCTCCAGTGTTTCCTTACATTGTTGGCAGTGTAGGGGTGCCTGTTTGAATGTTCTAATAAACCATAATGAGGAGCTTCTTATGCTAAGAGATAATCCACCTGGGAGTTCTCTCTGCCCAAAGAACGCTTCCTTGAGTTTGGCCTCAAATGCATCCTAGCCCTCAAGCCCCAGCTCAGATGTGAACTGGTTTTTTGTTTTGTTTTGTTTTGTTTTACAGCTTTCCTCAGATCTTATGTGCTTTATTCACTTTATTCCCTCTTCAGCCACTACATCCCTGGCCCCCCGACTGACAAAACTCACCCTTTCCTCCTCGCTCTGATGACATGCAGAATGTTATGTAATTGGTGGTCACGTCCCACGCCACTCAATGGGCACAGCGCTGGCCAGAGGTCATATTGGAGACAACTATTAGATTTTATCATTAACCCTAATTATTTCCGAGGAGAAGGCCTTCTTGGCTGTGTTCCCATCCCCAGCCTGCCGCTGATCTCAGCCGCCCCTTGCTGGGCAGGTGCCGGGGAGCTCAGTTTCCAATCTCTTTGCCAGGTCCCACATCCAGGGCTCCCTCCACGTGGTGTCTCGGCGTCTCCCCTGATGTGGGGCAGTGGCAGTGGCCCTTGTAGCATGGTCAGGTTCAGCTTGGAAGTGAAGGGGAGTGAACACCGTCTGGGGCAACTCTCAGCTGCTAAGGCCTGGAGCCAGCCTCCTGTCTTCAGGTGGGCAAGCGGGGGCTGCCCTGTGTGCTCCCCAGAGGCCCCTGTGGCCCCTGTGGCCTTGGGCCCTGGCGGCCTCCTCCTCCCTTCCCCCTCATGCCTGTTCCCTGGGATCATCTCCCACATAAGTTACCTGCTCCCAGGTCTCTGGCATGGGTTCTGCTGGGAGGAGGAGGAGGGAAGAGGACCTAAACTAAGGTATCCAGAGCACTGCCTGTGTGCCACAGGTCTCTGGTATGCTATGCTTTTTTTTTGTTTGTTTGATTATTTACTTCAAGGACAGAAGGCAGGACTGTGGGATTCTCACCCAGCCTGAAGGGGCCTGTTGTCCCCTTCTTCCTCGCTCCTGGGCTCCTAATATACTGAGGCCAGCAGCATGCCCAGATGACACACTCATTTCCTGGCCTCCTTTGCAGGCAGCATGACCCGCATCTGGCCAGTGGAGGCAGGGGAGGTCTAGGGAGGTCATTCTGCTAAGCTAGCTAGTGGACTCAACCAGCACACACTCTTTTGCCCTTAAGTGGAATGGTAGCATGAGGGCTGGAGCTCCAGGTCCTGTTTTGTAAGTC